AAACATAAAATAGTAAATAAAAAAGTATAGCAAACAAATCTCTTTTCTAGTTACGAATTTTGTACTCAGTTGCTGCTTCCCGTAGGTTGCTAAGCCTTATCAAATTTTGCACGTGGAGGATGTGAAACTAAATAATGTTTTTAGGTTTTGTATATACATTTTTAAATACCAAACATCATAAATTACTATATCAATACCAGTACATTCCACTATAATTTATCAAGCTTAGTAACTAAGCTATATTTAGGTCTAAAAAAATAAGAAGTTTCGAGCTCACTAAAGTTTTACCTACTAGTTGGAATCAGGGCCAGATTAAGGGTGGAGGATGTGAAACGAAATAATTTTTTTTTAGGTTTTTTATATACATTTTGAAATAACCAAACATCATAAATTACTATATCAATACCAGGAAATTCCACTATAATTTATCAAGCTTAGTAACTAAGCTATATTTGGTTCTAAAAAAATAAAAAATTTTGAGCTCACTAAAGTTTTACCTTACCAGTTGGAATCAGGGCCAGATTAAGGGTGTACAAGGCCTGGAGCTGAAGACGTCCAGTGGGCCTACTCACACATGTTCATAAGACAAGCAAATAAAGTGGCCATTTAGACTTCATATCTACCAAGCTATCATCAAATTAATATTATTTCGGGAAATGGCAGTAATTATTAATGACAATGGGCTATCTCTGCTCTGTCCACCACGAGTATTGAAACCCGGTTTCTCGTGTTAAAAGTCTGCAGACATACCGCTGTGCTACTGGGGGGCTCGCAAATGGAAAATGACGTAATAAAATCTATATTACGAGTTCTTTTCAAATTTTTATAATGATTATTTTCTCAAATTTTAGGAAATCCAAAAACAATGAAAAATATGTTTCATATTGAGAGCATTTCACATCAAAACCCCACTCCCATATCTACTACTGATAGACACATGTTCAAAGATGTGAAGTAGCTCTCACATACTAGCCAGATTTCATCATTTTCATGTCATGTGCAGTTATAGTTGCTCAATAATATTCTAGTTAAGGGATCATCAGAAATTGTGTATATGTCTCAGTAATTTTTTTGTGTAATAAATGTAGGCCTGTCACAGATGACTAAGGCCCCATGTGTTTTCAGATTTTTTTTAAAAGTCTGAACCCATTGTTAATGTGGGAATGCATATATTTTCTAATGCATGTCTTTTTTTTTAGTATGGTGGGCCTATTTTTTCAGGGGGCCTGGAGCTACAGCTCAGAGTATGGCCATTGTGTTTGAATCAGTAAATGTAGCGATATCTCAGCAAATAGAAAAAAATAGGAGTTGCTTATTCTGTATTCTAGCTTGTCAATAAAGGTAATTCAAGTTCCTAATTTGTAAGAAACTATAGACTTTGTATTTGGACATCACAAACATATAATTTAAACCAATGCTGCATTCAACATTCCACATGACACACAAAAATCGATATTTAGGTGTGTTCTTTAAATATTTACTTTTAAATTAAGAAATTAACTAATGTATAATACTAAACTTTACATTATAATCTTCAAGTTGATACCAAAGTTATTGAATAAATTCATAAAATAGTAGTTTAATAAAATTTTGAATGCAAGTCAACAAACACGATGACATGGCCTTTGACCCGTGTCGATAGGGTTAAGATTATATTGTTAAAGTGTCTGTCAAATAACTAATTACGATTAAGTATCAAAATACATTTCCAGGCAAAATGTTAGTTGAGATTATACAGGAAAGAGTGTTTGTTGAAGCAGTACTGATGCTACATGTGCATTTATATAAATTATACCATCTACAAGAGATAAGGTAAGAATACATGTCAAATAATTAAGGTAAACCAGAGTATCAAGTATTGTAAAACTTTATTTGTAGATAGAAGAACTTATTAAGATAGCTTATTACCAGTACAGTGTTATTATTAAAAGCAACTTGCAGTCAGTGGACCTTGAGGTTTTCCACAAGTTATAGTGAAGAATAAAAGACCATTTTTTGTTTGTTTGTTTGTTTAAGTGCATTCTTATAATATTGCATATTTACTACAAAAGGAACATAAGTATGTTTCTTGTTCTCAGCTATTTATAGGTAAATTATAAATATTGATGACTCAAAATATTTTACCCTTCCAGGCACTTGGAAGGAGCCTTGAATGAGTTTCAACCAGATATTATTGTTTACAATGCAGGGACAGACATTTTAGAAGGTGATCCACTGGGCTGTTTGTCCATAACACCAAAGGTAAAAGAAATAACAATAGTTTCTTGCTGCTCTTACAGTTTAACAAACTTCACAAAGTTTGCATACACTGAGGACACAATTTTTTCCTTTCTTTTGAATGGAGTAGCTTGCCTTTCACAAATGTTAGAATTTTTAATCTCATTTATTTTAGAGTTACTACTGATAGACACATGTTCAAAGATGTGACGTACCTCTCACATGCTAGCCAGATTTCATCATTTTCATATAGTGGCAAAAATTGTATGTTTTATTTTTTTGTTTTTTAATTTTGAGCAACTTCTAAACCAACTGAAGATAATTAAGTTACTAAGGTCAGTAATATAGCTCATTTAAGCTTCATATTCAATATGTGGCTTGCATTATCAAACATGGTCAAGTTATCATAGTGGATTTCAGTCATGGGTTGTATTTGGGGTAGGCCTGAGGTCATTGGTCAAGGACACAGCTAAATCAGATTTGCTTTATTGTTTTTTGTTTTTTTTTGCTAGACTTCGTCAAGTGAAATTTGGAATTTAGAAATAATATATACAGTAATTAAGTTTGTGTTTTTATTTCAAGGCTTTTTGCTAGTTAAGGCACTACCACTTTGGTACTGTCACTTATCTTAAAATTTGATACCTCTTACACTGTGTGTCATATATGATATAATTGTTATGTTTGCCCATGGAACAGACTAAAAAATTTACAATGAGAATGAAATTGCAATTAAAAGTGGTATTATCTGCTGTTTTAAGGGTAGAATAAGCACAAAATCAGTGGTATTCTTTTTCATTAGTAAATAATAGCTTCATCACGTTTAAAGGAGAGGTTTGTACAGGGATAAGCTTCTACTAGGGTTTGTGGATGTCTTAATTAGTAAAGGCTGGTGAGTCTTAAAATAGTGAAAACATATAGCTTCAGTAGTAAGGTATCTTTTTTTTACACGAGTAGATTGTGTAGGATCAAACCTTTTTTCTTCAGGGGTGAATTGGGAATGAGCATAAAGTGTAAAGAGTGGATTTTAGTTATCTGCAGTGTAGCAGATCTCCACGACACACAGAAATGTTAGGTTGGCTTTCATTGAAATTTTGACTGATATCTTGTGTACAAAAAGACAGAAATAGAGTATAACAAGAAATGTATACAGAGTTTCAGCACTGAGGTATTTTCAAGGGATATGTATTCTTCTTACTTCATCTCTGAAGAAAGAAAATCTTTTTGAAACTAGTAAAGTTATTGACTTTCTCATTGAGGTGGTATGTATGTTTAATAAAGGCTTTTATTGGTAGTGAGTGATGTACCAGTATATGTATAGCTCCAACACCAGTAGGAAATGTTAAGTTGATAGTTTTGTGGTAGTTTTAGTTCCATTACTATATTAGTATGACAGTGATTGCATTTTAGTTAATAATCTTTTGTTATCCAAACCAACTTATAAATTAGAATATCCCTTCACTTAAATATTTTGATATTAAAAAATGTTTTCATATATTCTTGATACAATTTTTCTAGTTATAAAATTTGGATTTCTGATACAGTACATTACCTCCATTCACATAAATAGCTATTCTCGTTCAGTGCTGCCTTCTATGTACAAAATTTTTTTTTATGCATGCCACAAGCCTTTTATCTCCTCTCAATTGGAATGGACTGATTCCAATGCGTCTCTCATGCAAATCATCATGTGACAACCCTCCATCAATAAGAGTACAACATACTCTTGTGATGCATGTGACTCTCTCTCTATTCAATTCTACCAATCTATCACTTCTCATTTGGCAGTACTTGTATTCACACATTTTTTATTTTTGTGCTTTTCATATGATTTCCATTTGTGGCTTTAATTGTTTAATTTACAAAGTGGAATTTCTTCATTAATTTTTTTCTTTACATTGAAGAAGCCTTTTACTTTGGCTTAATTTCCAAGTCTTTATTTTTTTTCCTCATTCTCACATTTTTACATCAAACAGTTTTCTTTAATATATATTTATACAATGAATTCTGAGGTTCATGTTTCCACTTTGGATATCATACTTCTTACTAGCACTATTTCACAGGCTGCAGGTGGGGGAGACCCATTGTTGGATTTTTTTGCTATTATCTGCCATGAGATTGATCGTTATATGATCAACCTCTATCTCCCGAAATTGCCCCACTTCCTCCTGAGCAAGCCGAACCTGTCCACGCCAATGAAGATTTTGATAGTCTTTTTACATCACCGGATTTTGCTGTGTCTTCCTATGCCCCACCTACAAAATCAGCTAGGCCTAATATGGAATTTTAGTCATGATTTCTCAGGTATGTGATGTTTTACTCATTTCCCTGATTTCTTATGATCTTCTTCCTCTCCTTATTTAATTTTCTCACCCTCACTGGATATTAGGATTCATGCTGAGCAATTTGCTTCACAATTGGTTGAAGGTGCCAGTATGCCTCACCCTCCAAAGGCTGTGGATCAGTTTGCATTATCTTACCATCAGGCTGACTGTCTGTTTCTCAACTCTCAACAGTTGGGGTCGATTTTACCTGTGTGGAGGGGTGGTCTCTGATTTTGTTGTGCATTTAACCCATGCCCAGTTTTCACACCTTCATATTACCCTTCCATTCTATGGTATTTATCTACTATCCATCTCCTTTCTGAGGCAATTCACTGAGACCCTGAGGATATTTAAAGGGAAAGCCTCTCCCTTATTACCTCCATATTGGCTCATTTGTTGTCTTTGGCTTTTGCTTTACTCACGTGGTTTCTCTGTTGTTTGGATCTTCTGGGTTGAGATGGGGCTTTGTCCCAGATTTGTTTGCCACCTCCTTATCATAGGGATGTATGTATGGCCCCTTTTTTTTGGCGATATATTTTTGATTATGTACCTGAGACTCTGTGCATCAACACACTCTACCCTTTCCTCTTTAGTAGCACGTTTGTCGCAGTTAAAGCCTTCATTTTAATCGACATAGATGGGCATGTCGCCAACAGTACTGGTGACAACCCAGTGGGTTCCTGTCCGGTGGGAGCTTGGTTGTACAAATTTGTTCCCTTTTGGCTATCATTCACCACAGATCAATGGGTTCTTCAGGTTTTATTAGAGGAACTTGTCCTGCAATTTCTCTCCCCCCCCCTTCCTTGTCTCAGGTACCCATTTCCTTCCCCATACCTCAAAATCCTACCACCAGCCAGCATCTGTCAGAGGTGGTACAAGACCTTCTGTCTCAACAGGTCATCAATCCTGTTCATCATCTTTCTCCAGGCTTTTATTCTAGGCTGTTTGTTGTCCCCAAGAAAGCCGGAAACTGGTGGCCTGTAATAGATTTTTCCCACCTCAGTCAATTTCTCAATCTGCCCTGTTTTACCATGGAGTCATTTCTCGCCCTCAGGTGGGCATTTTCTCCAGGTTTATGGAATACCAAGATGAGCATAACGAATGCTTATTTGCATATCCCAATATATTGTCAGTTGCAACCCTATTTTCAGTTTGTTCACCACAGGGTGATTTTGCCACATCCCTCAACCACAAATTAACTCTGTTTTGGTCTCCAGTCCCTCATCCTCCTGCTCTGGCTGTCAATGCTTTCAGATAGGATTGGACCAACAAATATCTATATGTCTATCCTCCCATTTGACTTCTTCACCGGGTGATTTTGATCATCCATGCCACTCGTCAAGTCCTTCTTATTACTCCTTACTTGCCAGCTCAGCTGTGGTATCTGCAGCTTCTCCAGTTCTAACTTGCTCCTCCATTACTTCTTCCTCTGACTCCATCCCTTCTTCATCAGCCTTGGGCACTGGTGCTTATCCAGCCCTCCCTGCCCTCCATCTTCATGCTTGGTTTTTTCTGGTCCTGGTGAGGGATCCGGCTTGGCCTGAGGGGTATCTTCTTTTCTGGCTTGTAACATTTGCCCTTCCTTCATGGAAGTTTTTCAGTGTAAATGGAATGTTTTCTACCATTGGTCTCTTGGTTAAGAGTTTTCCCCTGCTTGACCCACTTTTTCCTTGTATTGTGGATTTGTTCACTTGGCTTTTCAATCAGGGGTCTTCTGTTTCCTTGATCTCGGGTTATCGGGGCCTTGTCCCACACCTTTTCTCAATACAATAGGGTGTTTACCTCTCCTAAGCTTTCCCTGTTGATGCATTCCTTCTGGATTCATTGTCCGTGGAGGTGGGCTGTCATTCCGGATTGGGATGTTAATGTGATCCTTCACTGCCTCATTTTTGTCTCCATTCGAACCACTTTCCACATGTTCCTTGTTTCACCTTTCCCTTAAAACTTATTTCCTTCTCCTCTTAGCCTGTGGACGTTGGTGGTCTGATTTATTTGCCATCAGTATTTCACATCCACTTTATCATTCTACATATCTTCTCCTCGTTCCTCCCTAAAACTTTGGCGGCTTGTGAGGGTAACTCCTCCATTTTGTCAATTTCCCTTCCTTCTGTTTCCCACCTTTATCTTCAACCTGATCCTGATAAACTTCTGTGTCATGTACATGCACTTTGCTGTTATATTGCCCACCTCTTTACTCCTTGGCAGTCATCCTCTGTTTGTGATCTTTCTCATTCCACCCTCACCAGTTGGGTTTGGCCTTTACGTCGATTGGCTTATTCCTCTTTATCATTTTCCACTCATACTTTGTTCCGGGTGTTTTCTCATTAAATTTGACACATTACCTTATCATTGGCATTTCATCTTTATCGTCCCTTCGAGGTAATTCTTCAATTGAGCATGTGGACTACCCTAATAAGTTTGTCTCTCACTATTCGCATAGGATCGCGATTTGTAGCCATTCTTCAGACATCAGTGAGACTTTGACTGCTTAAGATGTTTTTTATTATCCTTTACTTTCTTTTTTCAGGGGTCTTTTTCCCCCTTTTTTTATTATTACTCATTCTTTGGATCCCACTCTATAGCAAGTGGTTCGTGACCAGGTATTCTTTAACTGAACAAATCCGTACTGTAAGACATATAATTCCATGATTACATGAAGCACACTGCAGAGATGGGGTGTTTCGCAAGATTGCTTGTAGGTTCATCCTTGTGATGGAATTGCTTCATAACTTTGCCCATGCCTTGTATTGAATAAATTGGTATGGTCTGCTTTTCAGAATAGGGTTTCATACTCACCCATTACACTGTCTCAGGTGTTGTCATTCCTCTGGACTCTCCACCACATCCCCCCCTCTTCTTCTAGTGGAGTTTGAGAGTCCTTACCACTTTCCAGTTCCAAGCCACTGAGGTGTGGACCATGGATGCATCCTCCTGGATGGGTTAATGAAATACAAACAAAATATAGAAATGATTATAAATCCATTCAGTTGAGAGTAGGGCAGTGGTGTTCTGCTGGTGTAGATGACATGATGTGATATCCTCCATTATGAAACAAATACTAATAGGAGTGATTTATCAAAATTGCAGTTCACTCCTTCATTTGGAATCCCTCATCCTACCCCCATGTGGATGTCAGTTCCCAGTGGCTAGGTTTTGGATTTAGAGTTGAATCAATCAACATAAGTCCTCACATATGTATTACAGATGTCTATATTCCTCCCTCACTTATACCTCTTGTTCCTCCATCAGTGTTGTAGGTCACGGTAGAGGTACTTGCAGATTATTACAGTTCTTCCCCTTCCACTATCCCTCAATACTTATTATTCCGAGGATGTTATTGTGTTTGGGGCAGTTCTGATCAATTTCAATTTTGAGGGAGATGGTTTACATTACCCAGACATCTTTTCTATACCGGATGTTGGGTTCCTGGATTGGTCTATCAATTTCTTATATTAACATGTGCCTCGTTCATGGATTGGGGAGTTCTAGATTCCCTCTGGTCTCATGAACTTGAGGTGAAGATGGTATGATCCTCTTTCCTACCTCCACATAAATATTGGTTCCCAGTGACCTGGGCTTTGGATTGTAGTCGACTTGCTGGTGGTATGATCCTCTTTTCTACCACACACATGGATATCGTTACCTGGTGGCTGGGTTTTGGATTGTAGTTCACTTATCAACAGTATGATCCTCATCCTACCCCCCACATGGATGTCAGTTCCCAGTGGTATGGGTTTTGGATGTAGTTGACTTGCCATGTACAGTCTGTCGTGCCTTAGCCACTCTACACCTAGGGCACGTCCTTTTAATTTTACCCACTTTTCTATTTTCTGGGATAGAGTTGCATAAATATTGTATGGTTCGGATCACTGTCTGACCTTAGTTCTCTCCCACTCGGATGTGCTCCTCTGTTTTTTTGCCCATATGTGTAACATTTTTTCTATGATGGGCGAAGAGTATACTGGGTTCAGAAGATGTGCGATCTCCCACATTAGATCTTAGAATCTATCTCATCTTAGAGAGTGTCCTTTGGATGCATTTAAAGGATGCTTCATTCTTTCTCTCGCACTAGTCCCTCTACCTATTCAATGTGGGATTCTAGCTATTTATGTGAATAGAGGTAATGTACTGTATCGAAAGTTATAATTTTCCTATACTGAAAATGTATTTCCAATAGGAACTTGCTTCCGCTCACACTACCCACTCTTCCTCTCCACTGAAAACCGGTGCTTCCATCTTCTGCCAAAACTCAAAGTGATAGTTTGGTAGAATTGAATAGAGGAAGTCCCAAGTGTCAAGAGAGTATATCACACTCTTATTGGTGGAAGGTTGTTGCATGATTATTTGCATGAGAGATGCATTGAAATCAGTCAATTCCAATTGAAGGAAGATAAAAGTCTTGTGGCATGCATAAAATTATTTTTGCGAATAGAGGCCAGCACTGAACAATAATAACTATTTATGTGAGGTGAAGGTAAGTTCCTATCAGAAATGCATTTTCAGTATAGGAAAATTATAACTTTTATCATCCACTATTACAAGACCTCAGGATCATGGTATTTGAGGAGAAAATCTTAAGGAAATTATAAAAATATGTTTAAGAATTATTTTACAGTTCATTTACTGAAAACCTTAAGACTATCCAATTCTCTAAATCTGTAGAGAGTAAATATTGAATACAAATTATAATTAACACCCTGTATGTGAGTCAGTTAGATTAAATTCGGGGATAGGGTGGGCTACAGAGGGGTGTCATGGTTTCTGGTATTCAAGCTAAAACCACAAAAATTTACTTCAGTAAAGAGCTCGATCCGTTAACTTCAAGAAACCACTCTTTCCTACCTTGCCTCTCAATAGTGTTTGGCCACTTAGATTTAGTTTAGTGGGTTGGCTGAAATATGTTCCTCTTACATAAAATAGTAGAAGTTTATGTTGGCATACCACAAGTGGTCAAGTCAAAAGCACCAATGGACATTAGATCCTGATTGATCTAAAACAAGAATAAAATTATTGATTTTCTGTATTCCTTCATGCTGTGTCATTGTTGCTGGCCTGGTGCTACTGCTACTTCCACTTCCGCTCTCTCCTGCAACCAACTTGGTGAATGTTTATCTGTGATTCCAAACAGAAGCCACCACAACAAAGACAGTGATGTCTGAACATGATGCTACATGTGTAGCCACTACTGTGTTTCGTGCAAGAATATGAAAGGCTGTGTGAGTTTGAACCCATTATAGCCTCCAAACTAGTGCAAATTCAACCACACTTATGGGTAATTCAGGTTCCACACACAAAGGTTTCAAACCTCTATTCAGAACTAAAGAAAAGAGTACCAGAAACTTTGTTTGGGAACCAACCACTAAACATGTCTCATTGGCATACAGACTGTGTGTTAAGAAAGTCTTGTTTGAGAAATCATTTTAAACTTACCAAAAACATTTATAGAACTGTAGATCAGTGGTTTCAGTGACCTTACATTACAATAAGACTGATAACAATTTTAACCCTGCATTAGTCTTCCAGGGTCTTCTCAAACCCCCAAATATTTTGTAAACATCTGTACTGCAGTCTTTTATAAGATAAGAATTATTGTGGTATAAGACCAAGAAATATGATTTATTAAAAATAACTGTCAGTTTTATTGTAAGTTAAAGGCACTCAAACCACTGATCTGTAAATTATGTTTCAATGGCATTAAGTATTTATACCATAATAATTGGTACCTTTTAAATGACTGACATAAACTGTATTGGCTGAGGTTTTGTTTTGCAGATCTTGATGAGCTCTGGAAATGAAAAAAAAACATCTCACTGGCAGTGTCTTACAGCTCACAAGATAAATAGTCAAGGTAGTATTCTTCTTACTGGAAATCTGTGTTGGCCAGAAATAAAGATCTATTAACCATATGTTAGTCTTCTGTAAAACTTTTCCGTAGTCACTCTTTCTGAGTCTGAGCAGATCTGCAAAACAAAACCTCAGCCAATACAGTTTATGTCAGTCTTTTATAAGATAAGAATTATTGTGGTATAAGACCAAGAAATATGATTTGTTAAAAATAACTGTCATCTTATTGTAAGTTAAAGGCACTCAGACCTCTGATCTGTAAATCATCCTTCAATCTCATAAAGTATTTATACCATAATAATTGGTACCTTTTAAATGACTGATATGAATAATTCTTAAGCTGAGGTCTTGGGTATTACATGCCCAACCAACTTGATTATCTCAGGTATTTAGCAAAAAGCTTTATTGTCAGTGCTATTATATTCTTCTCACTAGAAACCTGTATAGGGTCAGTAAAGAAAGATTTGTTTAAAATTATCAGTCTTATTATGATGTAATGTCACTCGAACCACCAATCTGTAGACTACAATTTGCTGGCACAATGCATTTATGTCATAATAATGTTTAGGTCTATCCATGGTAAAAATATAAGTTATGAAACTTTAACTTTTGTTGTATTTGTTCATAACATTTTGTGTACAAGCTATTTTCACATATGTATTGCAGTATCTTACTTTACCCATTATTCTTGATATTTTATGTTTTGTATATTTCATTTTACCTAGTTGTAGTTTTAGGGAAACAAGATTTTGCAGATAATTTGATATTATATTACATTTCTACTAAAGTTTTGGTATTTGAAAATTTACTAAGCACTTGATATTTCTGTGCATGTGTTTATTTTATAACATATTTTATTTATTGGCCATGTGGGCTAATTTTAAGTGTCCTTTATTTGTTTGTAGGGTATCATCGAAAGAGATGAAATTGTTTTTAGGAAAGCAAAAGAACGTAACATCCCTATTGTGATGCTTACTAGTGGTGGATATCAACATGTTACAGCAAGAGTAATTGCTGATTCTATAATCAATCTTTACCACAAAGGATACCTGACATAATTTTTATGAATGTAAACATGAATGACCATTTCATAAGAGTAGAGTTTGAAATTATAATTTGAAAGTGATAAACAACAACTTATTTTGAATTTGATATTGCGATTGTTTTCAAATTATGAATTTTGTTTTTATTTAGCAACCTGGAATAAAAACACTGTTTGGTGAAGTATTTGTTATGTGGAAGGTAAAAGAATCTGTTATGATTAAAGATATTAACTGCTACCAAACAAAATAAATTCTAAAATCTTTTGCAAATGATAATTGTAACTAAGAGATGTCTTTTGAGATACCACTATAACATTCCTTGAGTGGAATTTTGATTAATGAAAGCAGTTTTAAGTGATTTTTAACATTCTATTGTGCATTTCACTGCCTCTTAACTCCTTGCAGATCAAATTGATGAAATGAGCCCAAAAGATATTATTTAATTGGAGCAACTAACTGTGAATTCTGATATTAAAACATTTTTATTGTGAATTTTAAGTATTCAGATTTTGTTTTGTAAGTTAGATGATTCTTTTTGTTGAAAAAAAAGCACAAATATATTCATTAGTTAATAAGTTTATTAAAGTTGATATTCAGATGCTAATAAAACAAAGTAAGATCTTTTTATTGTCATCCTAAGTTATTCAACAGTATAATAGATATATATGATGCAAAAAGTGGTATTAAAGAGCTTTATTTTCTCCAAACGCAGCACTAAATCAAAGAATAAAAATATTCAGATATGTACAGGTTATATATATAATTTGTATAATTACCGAAAAATAAAACTAACTGATTGTTTTGACTTGCTGGACGAGTTGTTCAAATACTTAACAACTTTTTAGAACTAAAAGATGGTATATACCTGTAGTATAGATAATAAAAATGGTTTAATTGTGTAGTGATAAAACAAACTTTTTTATTTTTCATTATTTGTTATCAACATTTTAAGATTTTTTTGTAAATTGAGAACAAGTGATGATGCATTTTTGATATTTGTTAGAAATGGTGATGTCTTATTGTCTGTAAATATGTTTCTAATACAGATATAGCAAGTTAAATAGCGAACTAATAAGGATGATAATGTTACTGTGAGACTTTTAAAAACCATTATAAATTAAGATATTGCAGTCTTAATTTATGTACAGGAATGAAAGTAGTTTCTGTTTTTGGTGTTATTTGACATTTTGTTACTCGTGAATTTCTTTTTTGAATCTTGAATGCTCTGTACTGATGAGAAAAGCTTTTATAATCATTAACTATAGTATATATATATTTCAAAAACAATGAAAAATGCCCTTCTGAATGTATTTGTGAAAACAAGGTTGTAATGAGTAAGGCCATTACAAACAGTAAATGAAATCATACAAATGGTTCTATGTAATTTCCTCTGAATATTCAACATTGTATTATTGGGGCAGATTGGAGACTTAAAATGGCTCAGTCAAATACTTGGAAATCAGTCTACATGACAGTGTCATTTGTTTGAACTGTTTGAGGGCATTTAGATACAGGTGTTGTTAATTTAAAGAAGAGTATCTTTATAAGATTTAGCTTTTCCTTAGAGGAGATATTTTCTGCTTCTTCAATCCTGTTGAGGGAGAGAATCGTACCTACTTACATAGAACTTTGTGGATTTTCCGAAAAAAACAAAAACTGTAATCAGTACTATATCCTTGACCTACCAATGTGTTTTACCAGTGATTTGTAATCAGTGTTGATTGCTTTTTCCACATCTGTGGTTCTTTTATTCATTCATTCATTCTTTTAAAAGGTTCCCTAAAAAATACAGCAATCCCATTTAACAGAGAAAAGACTGAAGTAGCAGCAATGGATGATCAAGTTGCATCAGTAATCACATGATTTAATATATGACTATAGCATCAACTATGAATTTGTTCTAGTGATTCATTGTTTATCCAACTTAAAAAATTATTGTATAATGTAGCTTTGCTCTAACATGGTAATCAGGATCCATATCACGGGACTGCCTTGTAAGTGATGCATGTTATAGCAATGTCCTGTCAAACTGCCACATAAGGTGGGTACACAACATGCTCGTTCACATCCCTTTCAAACCCCAAATTACCAGAAACCATGAATAAATGACACAAAGAATAAGGTAGCTTATTCAGGTTTAAATACAAATTAAATATTATTAAGAAAAAGAATAACAGTATGAAATTTGTATATGCACATGAATTTTTTTCAAGTATTATTTCATATTGTAAATTGTTGAGGGAATATGGTGACCAGTTTTCCAAATCAAAAAACTGGGACAGTGCAAGAAGTTTGATGTTGTTACTCATTTTTTATTTCTGAGTCTTCCAATTTTAATTTGATTTTCCCAAGGTTTGATGTTTTTTCTTAGTTTTTATAGAAAGTAATTGCTTGTGATTTCATTAAGTTTAGTTTAACTCGCCATTCATTACACCATTTTATGATTACGTTTAGTGATTCATGAACTGGTACAACTGCAATTAATGGGTTTCTCAATGTGCTCCAGACAGTAATATTGTCAGCATACCAAGAGTGGTATGTATAGGTTAAATTAGGAAAGGGAATACCATTTACAAAGATAACGTATAGGAGTGGCAAAAGAACTGATCCTTGCGGAACTCCTGTGGTGATATTGAATGTTTTAGATAATGTTTTATGTATTTTGACTTGATCTGTTCTATCTACTAGGAAGTTTGATATCTATACAATGATGATTTCATTAAGATTCATCTGTTTTAATTTATATTTGATGTCATTGTGCCAAACTCTACTGAATACTTTCTTTATATCTAAGAACACTCCTATAGTCACTTGATTATTATTAAATGATTTATAAACAGATTCTGTTGGTTGGGTAAGATGGTCTATTGTTTGTCTTTTCTTTTTGGGTGTAAGAAAGTAGGTTATTTGTTTTGCAGAAGAGAAGGAGTCTAAAATCATAAATAATATTCAATGTTAAAATTGGTACACAATTAAAAACATTTTATTTAGGCCTATCTATGGCTTTCAAAAAGTTGACAATTCTACATGTTTTGACATTGCAACGTCATCCTCAGGAGTGAATTACAAGACAATGCTAAAGTATTTATAACTTTTTAGTAGGTCATGTGACCTGTATGCTATTTTACATAAATTCACGTAAAACCATTCAAAGAAACAGAAGGTATAACTTAGTTACTGGAGTGTTCAGTCTTTGTAAGATTGTTTCATAAGCTATAAGCTTATTGCCCAATAAAATATTAGTAAAGAATAGTTTTGGTGCATTGTATTGTTCCAGTAGTCTAGACAATTCTATGCAAGAACAGTCATCTTTTTTGAGAAGGATGAAACAATTTATGCGGTTAGGCAATGGTAAACGGTTGAAATTCTTCAAGTTGTCCAGTGCACTTGGGACGACATTTAACGTAGTCATAAACATCTTCTGGGAAGATCTTCTATTGATTGAGGTAATTTTATATATATACATATGAAGCACACAAGGCAAATGAATGACAAATGCATTTCCTTATGAATAACTGAGGGATATCTTTTTTTTTTTTTCAGTAATGATGAAAGTGAATGATATGTTCCTAACATTGTGTTGGTACCATCTGCAGCAAAGCCTATGATATTTTCTTTTTAGGAAGTTCATTTTTATTGAAAAACCTAACTACATAATTATATCATAAGTAAGCCATGGAATCTTTCAGAAGAATGAAACGAAGAAAGGAATCATTTACAGATTCGTTAATTAGCAACCATGCACGAATGTTCCACACATCCTCTATTGGTAGACTTATCAACTATTAAAGAGAACTTATTCTTCTTTAAATGTTAATTTAGTTGCTCATGTTTCTCCTCTACAATTACATTATTTGTCTTCCACATGTTGTATATTGTTAGAATCTGGACAAACAACACCAATTACTTGAGGAAAATTATCAGCAATAACTATAAGCAAATCATAATTCGCTATAAATGCAACAATACAAAGTTAACCCTCTTTTATTAATTTCATTAAGTTTAGATGTAGTGGGTATGCCTAAAAAGGTTCTCAGTGTGTTTTCTCCATGTATTAACTTGGAGTTGGAAATGTGTTTTTTATTTTCAGAATGACTTTTTAAATCAGTTTCCCCAGCAGTTAACTTAGATGAGTATCACAGGGAATGCAATAGGCATAAGAGTCTCCTCTAACACTTGCTTTAGTCTAGCCTTTAAATAATGGATTCATTTCAAATTTCACTGAATATTTGTGCAAATATCTCCTTTTCCTCTTTGAAGTTCTCACTTCTTGTGAGTTGTAACCTTCATTTTCATCATCCATTTTGACAGGACTGAAAAAAAAGGTGACAGTTTATTTTTTGTGAAAAGACTTGAAGGTGACTGAGCTGTTTCAAGGTTCAAAATTGATATATATATATATATATTTATGTGAATATGTCTTTGCTTGTTTATGTTATCTTTGGACAGTGTTAAAAGCTTTCTTTTGTATTTCTTATAACAAAATGTGTTAAACATTGTTTATAATATCTACTGTACTTTTTACTTCGTTCAAAAATAAAAATGAAAAGAGTGAAAGCAAAACCAAGTTTCAAGTTGTGTAAAATTGGCATACCTTACTTAAGATCATAAGATACAACCAGATAGATGGCATGAAGCTACTAGGCCCTTTCTAGGTTTTCTGGGTCATATACTAATGTAGTCATTGTATTTTGCTTTCCAGTTATATATACATATTGTTACGTCTCTGGTCGTTAGTGACACAAGTCCTTTCTTAAATAAAACTAGTTTA